ACAATAAGAATACTCCGCACATTACAGATTTAAGGGCAAGAGGGTGCACGCTGACAATCCATAGGGCTAGCCATCACGTCTTCTATTCATGAACATCATAACACCAAGTTATAGAGCTAGACAAGTCTGCCAGGCTGGCAATGATGCAAAACCAGAAATGGTGTATGTTTTAAACAGCTGATGTGAGCTAGTTCCCATAAACATGCAGAATTGATGAGAAGCTTCTCATCATTATCTTTCTTCTTTTGAAGGGAGATATATAAATAAAAAATAACCACGTCTACAAGAGAGCCAGCTCTTTTCTTGTTAATGATGCGGAAAGCCACGTCTATACCACTCTGCTTGAGGTATCCTAAATGGATTAAGGACAGAACTAAAGCACTGGAATCAGAGGGTCTGAGGGGGCATTCTGTATACAGAGGCTCGGAAGCACAAGTGTTAGCATTCTACAAATGACAGCCACACTCAAACCGCTCCCCAAAAAACACTACTCACTTCAAGAAGCAATAGCAATAACCCAAAAACCTCACAAAAACTGTCAATATAGTAACCCAGTCAGCAACCATAAACTGAATTGAGAATTTCAGAAGCTGCGGAGAGTGATTTGAGATGTCACAATATTCCCTCTGCCCCCGTTCAAAAAAAATCCAAAAAAACAAGCTAGGTTTCATTATCTTTAACTTAATTCAAGGAAAAAAACCAAAAGGCATCCCAAACAAGTTTGAATGTCTTGATAATTTCCTAGAATTGTACCTTCCTGAGAATTATAACAAATTGTACCTCAGAAATGGAACTCATTTTTGGTAGTGATGTAGTAACAAAGCCTTAAGAAAGAACTTTTTTTCCTTTTGGTAGCCAAGTCGGCAAAATGTTGCATTAGCAGAATCTGAAATGATCCAACAAGAAACAAGGGTCGAAAAACAAGGTATGCTACTAGTACGTTCTACAACCTGTGAGAATACTGTCCTCGTCTTCAAACTTTAAATCAATTTCTTAGATGGTACTGACCATGCGCAGTGCAAGTTCTGTGCATCACATCCCCAAAGTTGTCCGCCAAAATCTCATGTGATATCAATGTTATATGTTCCACCACAGCAGTTGCTTCACTATTATCCAATCTAATAGCCACTCAGATCTGATACTTAAAATCTCATCTTTCCCATACTCATGAAATCAACTCTCCTGGTCTCCCATTCTCATGCACTATGTGCTCAAGGATTACAAAGTGAGAACTGTATAACCTCACTTTTGAATCCAAATAAAACAAAAAAAAGTGAAAGGACGAATAATAAATAAATAGATTAATAATAAGTAAATTAATAATAAATAAATAACTCATATCCATTATATGATTTTTTCAAAGGAAAAGGGTTACAAAAATATTTTAAAAAAACTATTGCATCAACAGCATTTTATTGTATTTTATGAAAATGGAAAAGATCATATTTGTTACAGTGGTTACGCATCCTGGTTAGAAGTCATGGTTTCAAACTCCAAACCCAAGAAACAGACTCTAGGTGAAAAGAAAAATAGGATGGGTCGCACATAGTCTGCATATTGCAGGTGTACACTTGATTAGGCATGACCTTGAAGAAAGTATTCAATCAAGATATCATGAAAATATGCAAATATACCAGTTCCCTACGGTGCATCAAAATACTGGCCAAACACTGTACAGGTGTCCTATGTAGACACAAAAAAACATACATCATCTGTCCCAAAAACAAGTTCTCATTTTGGTTTACAATGGGTGACTAATATTATTTCAACTTGTTTTATTTGAAAATTATAGTAGAAATGAAAACTAAAATTCATATACTTCTACATCTAAAGTTGTACTTCCTTATAATAACTTAAAGTTTGACTTCACGGAGTTCATGAAAAGTATTGAATAGTGAAAAGTGTTCAGTTAAAATTGTATAGTTAGATTTTTTCTAAAGATAGAGAAATGATAAGATCCACATATTCATTTCCTAAAAGGAGTGTTAAGTTTATTTGGAAACATAAGAAAAAGGAAACTGTAAAACTCTTTTAGGGACAGCCTGAGTAAAAAATAAGAGGTGATATGAGTGTTATTTTATAAAATGATCAATGAAAATACACAAGGAAAACAAATTTAGCTTGACCCTGTAATAGCATATCGGAATTTGTTTTGGGGCTGGAAGGATTAGGTAATATGGAAAGTAAAGCTTTGAACACTCAATAAGTCAGTAGGTTCCTTCTCCGTGTCATGAACACAATGTCATGGCAAAATTGTTCCAGGAACATCTGCGAATATCTTCTACGGCCAATGAGTTGCTATTTATATGTTAGGTGAAAAGCATTCACTAGTGGCTAGTTTTAACTTCAGATGAAAAACAAAACTATTGATGTACAGCATATCAACCGCCAGCTAAGAATATCATACAAGCGAGCAAGCTAATCCTTCTAAAGACCCTGCAATTTTATGTCAATCCAAAGGTATCAAAATCAGCTCCAAAATGACTAAGAGCAATAATGGCATGTAAAGTAGAACTTGCACAGAAGCTACAAGCAATTGTAAAACTGTTAGGAAAAGCAGAACGAAAGAACATATTTGTTCTCATCTCCAGCCACATTGCTCCTAAAAACCATGTATTTAATGAGTAAATGCTACTACGAAAATAGCAATTCTTAAAGGTGGCAGCATTTAACATAAATGAAACTTGGCATCACAATTTCCAATCTATTATGATGGCCAAAGAGAGAATCTTCCATAAAAATTAACAAATACCCCAATTCAGAAGAATGAAATGAAGAACAACTCTTACCCTTCACTGACAAGGTTCATTGCCAAATTCACCAAAACTGATTGGGAAAATCCCAATTTCTCAAGGGTGGATGTAAGAGAACCATATGGGTGCTGCACACTGAGCTCAAAATTTAAAGTTGTCAAGATCAATTGCTCAGCCTCAATAACGCGTTCACGGTATTGTTCAAGCCAGACCTGCATAAGGTTAGACAACATAAAAGCATGTCAGATATATAATTAACTAGAGAACATGGAAAAAAGTGTGTGCCAATAGAAAGTGAGAGAAAAACATAGGAAGTAATGATACTAACAATGGGAAGTATGTATGATAAATATTCAAAGTCCTGCTTATGAAATATTTCAGCAGCATATCTCAACACGTTGTTGAGAGAGCATGGTGTCTCTTCTGATTTAGCAGCTAGAAAGAGAGCTGCAGTAGAGATCAGCTGTAATAGCAAAAAACATGTGTCAATGATTTTGCAGAAAGAATGGTCAAAGAATGCTGCAAAGTTTCATCCACTAGAAACACACAATACTCACAAATCTATCGTGACAAGCATGAGACCTATGAACAAAGAATCGGTGACACAGAACCATGGCAGTCCCAATTGTGGTCTGTGGCCTACATGAAAAGCAAAGGTTAGCCTGCCGGTAGGTTAAATCAAAGAAACTACGGAAATAGAATAACAACAATCCTAGTTTGTTGAAATAAAAACATCTGAATTTTAGAAAATGCCTTGGTTAGCTCAATGCATATGCATCAATGAATGACAACAGCCCAAATGTAAAAGGAGGCTTACAATTCAAGTCGGGCTCCAAGCGTCTGAAGGAAAGCACAATATGAATATCGCAGTTGCATTTCGTGCACAGCATCAATACCATCTTTCCTAGATGGAGAGCACCTGTCAATTTCCTCTCTAGACATAAAACCCACCTCAATGTCACCATCTTCAATTTCTGACCGAACACGCTTGTAGATATTAGACCCATACCCATCAGAACAAGTTCTATCACTATCTTTAACATTTGAAACGGAAATGGTAAGATTATGGTTGTAGGTTGTGGTGGCACTGCCATAGGCACCCTGATTTTTTGGATGCAAACTGTTATTTGTGGGCAGTTGCCTTGATGGAATATTATTAAGTGCATGGTTTTGCTGATGGTGCATCTCCCGTGAAGGAGATGAACACTTCATTCTTTTCGTGGAAGGTTCAACCTCAGGTTTCACAGAATTGTCAATGTAGTTGTAGCAACAGTCCCTAATTTTTTTTGCATATTTATCTGGAAGATGGAGATCTTGATGTGGAAAGCTGCTACTGAAGTACTTTTTGTTGTTGTAGGCATTGGTAGAAACAGGGGCATTGTGATCATTGGCACGGTTTCTACCTCTACCATGTGAGGATCTGCACTGATTGTGCAACGGATTCCCTTTTGTAGAGTACATCCCTGAAAGATCTATTATACCTGTTCAATCCAATAACAACCAAAAAAAACAATATAATTATCGAACGTATGGCAGCCTTCATCTTACATAGTATCCTTTGCAATAAAATTGCTTCATTGACAATCGAAAGACCAAAACTGGGTCTTTCCTAATTCCTATAAAGCCGGGGATTGAGTTGGACAATAGACAACACAATGTAATAGAACCAAAATATATTAAAGAAAAAAATGCTTTCCAATCAACAAAAGTAACACACAATTAAGGATTTGTTGAAAGGAGTAAGAGGATGAATCGGCAATTTCAAGTGCTGACTACTTATTTAAAATTGTGCAACTTAAGGTCAAAATGATGAAATCTACCAACATATAATAATGCAATGCCCTCTGCAAATTTCCTCATCAAAATTGACTGAATAATAATTAATACAAAAATAGGGGTAGGCTATCTAGTGTCCAGTAATGAGCACCCAAGCTGGTTGCTGAAGTATTTGTCAAAAAATTTTGTTGTCTCCAAAAAACAACAACATTTCCTCAAAGGCTCGCATCGATTGCGGGGTATGGGGGTCAGATGGACATAACCTGACACATATGTTTAAAAATAGACGTTTTGTTTCCACATGACCCGTGAAAGTTGCATTGACTTGCTGCTACTACACCATTGAAAGAGATGCAGACAGTTTAAAAAGCCATTTTACTTTATTTCCAAATTCAAATTTGTTGAAATACATTCAGAACTAAATAATGGAGTGGTGAAATCAGCTTGTGCTCTCACTCTATAATTTGAACTAAAATTGATAAAATTTTTACCCCAGCATACAAATATACAATAGGAGTGGCCCTGAGGGTGTCAGAGACATGCAGCCACAATTTGTTATCATCCATAGTCAATGTATTGATAAATATTCTAAAGAGAACATTCAGTGAATGATCCAGATTTGCTTCAGTATGTTTTGGCTCTACAATCAATTAAAAAAAATGTGCATATACTTTTTTCCAAAAAAAATCAAATTTTCTTTGAATTTGTAACTATTTGCTTTGCAACAAATAGTGATTCAATTCTAAACATCAAAATACTCGGATTGTGCAGTAAAAGTATACACCCTTAAAAACTAAAATAGGATTGAGCACTAAGAAAAATCATTTTGAAAATTTAATAGTAACCAATAAATATTTGCACACGGTCTCCAAAATTTTTGGCCCGGCCCTGAACATGAAAAAAGAGCAATCCAGCATCTTTTCATATAACTTTCTACACACAAGCAGTTTTTCAAAAAATTACTGACAAAAGATAGAGCTACTAACTCAATACGGAGATGTAGAGAGTATTAAAATTAAAATACAGATCTTTTTAATAAGATATTTTATAAAGACAATGACGAGAGAAAGATTTTTCAAAAAAATCAAATACAACTGTATGAAATAAAAGAGTTGACAAAATACATACATGCATACATATAACAAAGCAAATATTCTCATGGAACGTGAAAATAAGATCGTGTTTTGTGTTTCATACACATCTCCTAAAATATATTAGTGATGTATTATATAGATCATAGAAGATCTGGAGCTTGGTGTTCCCGATTCAGATTCATTGATCATAGATCTAACGATCAATTTAAGACATCAGAAAAACAAAACATCTGAAACTCGTACCTGGTTGATTGAAACGAGCTAATTTGTTGCTTGAGAATATTTGATGAGATTCGAAGTTTAAACACGTAATACAGATGATGATGATGATGATGATGGAGGCCAAGGAGCGTGGAAAATGAAAGACGGATGGGTTGGAGAAGAAGAAGAACGGTATATGAAGGAATTGACGCTGGTAAAGTCGTGGAGAGATACGGAGTAGGGATTTTTTTTCCAGAGGGGTAAAGAAGAATACGGAGTAGCTGTTAATTGGGTCGAGTACGGTTTGGATCACTTGGAGGATTGATTCTATTTTCAAATTATTTATAAGAAAAATAATTTAGAATTAAAAATAAAAATTATATATTTAAAAATTATATTTATAAAAATAGTGGTGATATGATTGTATTATTTTATAAATGACTAACGAAAATAGGGAAGAAAGGTGAATGAGATTTGATTCTCTGAATAGTGAACATGCAATTTAATTTGGAGTGAAGGGAGTATAGAGTTGTATGTTAGGGGAAAAATTGGGAATTGTTGAAAAATATTAAAAAAATAAAATATAAAAAATATTTGAAGTGTGTGTAAGAAAACTAATTTTACTTCAAAAAAGAACTTTCTCCGTCTTTGAAGTGTATGTTATAAAAAAACTCGGGTGGCGAGTGACAAAAATTTTCGCCCGCATACGACCAGTCCGTATTGCAAAGGGTTTGTATCGATTGTATTGGGTGGATGGATACGCACATTCACAGAGTCAAATGTAACTTGTCATCTCTAATATAGGTCGTTGGTTGGGTAGCAAGTGTACTTCCATAAATCCAGTTTGAATATATTCTCTCCAAATATGAGAATTTTTTTAGTGTTTTGTAATATCGTAGTTTTCATAATGGAATCTGATTAAATTAGTCTTGATTTTTGACACTAGTTTATTGGTCGGATCAATAATTCAAACATATGTGTGTGTACATATATATGCACAAACAGCACATGAACACAATTATACAGAGTATAGATTTTCATTTTTAGTATTTCAAAACAATTATTTACAAATAGCTAATTTTACCAAAGATTTTTTAGCAATTAGCCAATGTATTTAGCCAATCATGTCAGCTAAACTCATCGGTCATTCAAAATAGCTAGAAAAAAACAAGCAACAACCAACATTAAACAAGGTCATAGTGTATTTTGAATATTTTTTAACCAAAAATAGAAATGCACCTTTAATTATGGAATGTCCAAAAGAAAAATGTAATTCCAATTTCGAGATGGAGGGAATTTTTTATTAACGAGTGAAACAAGTGAATATTTATGAAATAGTGAAAATAAAATTAATGTGTATTATCTTTGCACAAGCAAATATTGCTCACTATTATTTTAAATCTTGCATCAAAATAAGTATAACTAAATAAAAAACTTATAACAATTTCAACCACCTATTTTACTTACTTTTTAATACTTTCTTCTTTTAATCATGTGGAAAGATTTTCATTTATAGAAGACTGATAATGGGTATTATATCATATGAAAAAGACTTTGATGTTTTTGACTTATTCGTATTAAAATCAGATTAGATTTACAATTTTAAATTATATAGCAATCAGATCAGACTAGATCAATCTAAAAAATCAGATTGGAGAAGATACTATGTTATTTAGAGCAAATTTATGAGAAAATGAGAGGAGAGAAAATAAAAGAGAAAGTGAAGAGAGTGAAAATAGACCGCAATCTGTCAACATTTTTGAAAAACATGGAGCAACAAATTATCCAATATTGCTTAATTACAGAGTATTATTAATGCTCCCAGAAATTCAATATTTTTACAATAACATTCCAAGATTACAAATAAATCACACTTAGCTCAAAAATTAAGGAATTCATGTAAATTAAAAATTCTCTTAGAATATAATAAAAGGGATGGTTCAGCTGACATGAGCCCCCATGTCATATGACATGGCCCGGATTAGGACAATTATGGAACTTCGTTCAAAAAATTGATGGTTCCTACCCCCCAACCTGGCCCGAACTCACCCCCGTCAATTGCACCCCACAAGATTTAGTTGACTTTGGAGTCAAAATTTGACTCCAAAGTCAACTAATTGTGGGGTGCAATTGAATGGGTATAGGGGTGGGTTTGGGCTGGGCAGGGTGGGGGATTTTACCGGGGGTTAGAGGGATATCAATAATCAATTTTTTGAAACGGAGTAATGTGTGGACCTCAGATCATCCCATGACCTTGAGAACAAGGGGATCATAAAAATATGACGAGTAGATTTCTAGGAACATTGACGATGATTATGAAATCTTGGAGTATTAGTCTAATATCTCAAAATTCTAAAATTATGGGCATGAAATGTCAAAAAAAAACATTTCAATTGTGATATGTAAAGTGAGAATCTTCCGCAATAAATCTCGGGGGTCAGCGCTTTGACACCATGCATTCACAGACGCACACAAAGTGTTTGTGTGCGTCTAGTGTGTGAGGCTCGGGGTGTCAAAGTGGTGTCCCCCAAACACAACCCATCTTCAAATTAATTGGCATGACAAAAAAACATCATGGGGTGGGGAATGGAAGTGGTACCAATGACAATGCATCTAATATATCATGCTAAAATCTGATTTTTGCACACACACACAAAACTGTTGGAATAAGTACACAAGATGAGACAGTGCTGACCTACTTACTCATCACTCATTAACAGCAGCAGGACCAACAAGGACTCCCTGAGCAGTCCCCTCTTTCCGGCCACTCTCCTCCTCGGCCACTTCACTCTCCCCTTTTCTGATCCTTATCTTGTACTTGGCCTCGAACTCGGAAATCTCCTTCTTCTTCTTCTCCAGAATCTCATTGAGCCGGGCAAGAACTTCGTCCAGCCCCTGCTTATTACGCTGCACAGCAGGCAACACTTCTTTCACAGTTCTCTCCACAAGAACCCCTCCTATCAGCCTGTAGCATCTCCTGGAAGGATCAAGTGGTTGAATGGCATTCATCACAAGTGTGTGCTCACTGGCTTCCATCTCCACTTTCGTGATCTCAGAGTATATCTGGTTCATCTCTGACCTTAGAGAACCGTATATGTTGGCCACCATTTGTTCATTGATTGGGGGTTCGTTCACATTCTCTGCTGCCATGGCGGCCATGTATGTTATGTGCAATTACTGAAAGAAGCAAAGCAAAGTAAAGACGATTTTCAATTCACGCTCAATCATAAGAAAGTAATGGAAATTTACAATTCTGTACTCCATGCTTCCCTTTTTAATCTTGCCCAGTTACTATTCACACTATCCTCATGGTCAAACTATACCCTCTTCTTAGCCCTCTTTCTTTACATATTTTCATTCATCATTTGACAAAATTATACTCCAGGTATAATAAAACTTACTTCCTGTTTTGTACAACTTACAATTCAAAATATGTACCAAAGTATAATTTTGTTTTGTTTTTAATTCAACGCCAATATTTACATAAACTAAACTGAAAATAACTTCAGTCAAAGATCATAATCCGAACGAGAAGATTAAATGGCGACGAAGGGAATCTAGAAGTTGACTTTGCCAATTTTCCCGGCTATGATGACTGAAAAACTTCAACAATGATAATTCTAGAAAATGCTTCAACAATATCATAGTCAACAATGATAGTTTTTTTTGTGGCGCAAAATAACTATACTGAAACTCAACCAATCAATTGAAGTGAAAATGTTCACTTTGTATTCAACCAGAAACCTGTGTATAATATTTTTTCTAGTCTAAGCAATAATTTAAATAAAAAAACTAACAAAAGCAATGATTTCTCAATGTAAGAGATACTCCTTAATACTCTAACTAAATCAATTATCTATCTTCTATGTATAATGATGCAGACATGCAGCCTCAAACTTTCCACCTAAACTGATTGAAGAGCTCTTACTTCTATATCAACAATCTCTTTTCTATCAGTTTTCTTCACCGATTTTCTCATCTATACTGACTGAATAACTCTTACTGCAAAACTTTAAGTACATCAATAGTCTATCTTTTACGAATAATGATGCATTTCACTTTGCAGAATTTCCAGCCTAAACCGACAGGTGATATCTATGTTGCCGTCCCCAATAACACACAATTCAAACTAACTCTATAAATGCAGCTATAAACATTCACTTTTATTTCAAACCATTGTTTGTAAGGCGTCACCTAGGCGATAAGGCGTTGTCACTGGGACGCCTTGTCTGCTCGCCTAGAAAACCTTATGGCAATCAGGCGCTCGCCTAGGCATCGCCTTAACTCACCTTGATGCCCTGAGCCCCTTTAAATTTTTGAAAAAATACATTTTTTAGTGCAGGCTATTTTCTTTTAGTGTAGCCTAGTAGACTTAAACTTATCTTCTCTCTATCTCTCGATCTTCTCTGAATCGATTAAGCTTCCTTAAAATGTGTGTGTGTGTGTGTGAAGGTACATTGGCGCCTCGCCTCGCCTTGCCGTCTTACAAACTATGTTTCAAACAAACAACCATGCATCTCTACGTAAGAATTTTTCTGTCTAAGCAACACAAGAACTGACAGAAAAACATTAATACAACAGAACCCACCTTGACTATTCTTAATTGAGTTTATTCTTAATTGAGTTTTTTTTTTTTTCTGTTAGTCTATAGCTTGGTGTTGGTAGTTTCGATCCCTCCCACAAAGAGAAAGAAAAAGAGGCTTATGAACCTATTTTGGTATTCCCTTTGATTTTGCACAACTCAGGTTCATGTGACAAACGGTGGCAAATTGTTTGATGGGCCAAGTGAGCTGCCCGATGACGCATTGTTGTCGATCATGTCTCGTTTGACAATGAAGGAAGCTGCGCGGCTCGGCACTTTTTCTCACAGAGTTATGGACTTTTTTTCCGGGCATATTTTACTTTGAAGATCTCGATCGGGATCCTGAGGACCAATACATATCTAGGTTTGTGAGCTTGGTTTCTCAAATTGTGGAACAACATCGCGGCTCATCAATTGAAGAGTTCAAGGTTGCTTTTGCTTTGGACAATAGTTACCAATCCCAATTAGATAAGTGGGTGGCATTTGCCTTAGCAAAAGGAGCGAAAAGTCTTGTGCTAAATTTTAGTGATATACGTATAAGTTCAAAACGCTCTTTCTATGCCCCATCTCTCGAGTGTTTCCCCCCACTTAAGTCTATTAATTTGGGGAGTAGAAAGTCGTGCTTGAAAGTCTTGACTCTTGATCACATCAATATATCCACCAATGTCCTCGAATGCATTATGCTATCATGTCAATGCCTTGAGAACTTGAATATTTATAAGCCATTATGCTTAACACGCATAAGAGCTCTGAGTTCGCCGCTAGCACTAAAGGTCGCCGCATGTCCGAAGTTGAAAAATATTGACATTGTAGCCCCATGGTTGTTGACATTTACATATAGTGGTGAACGTATAAAACTGCATATTAGAAATGCGTCCTTGCTTTCTGAAGTGTGTGTACGTGGAGGGATCAATGTAGCTATAGTGTATGCTTTTGATTCTCTTTCAGTATATTTTTCACACTTGAAGTATCTAAGTGTGATGACAAAACTACATTCGGAGGTTAGTTTGCTGAAATTTGTTTTGTTCTTTCCCAATATTGTTGTTTTTGTGAATAAATGCCTACATCTTACGTGCAGATAAATGTGATTATACCACCCCCCCCCTCCAAATTTGACAAACCTCAAACATTTAAGATTGGCTATTTCTTCTAGTTTTAATCAAACCCTTGATGGATGGATTACCTTGATTGAGGCTTCTTCTGTATTGCAAAAGTTGACATTAGAGGTAAGACAACCAACCATACTTATGCACATTTATACATATAGACATATTTGTGAGAAAAGATAATGGCACTAGGGCGGAAGTTAACACTAATCGTGTGCTACAGGATACCACCTCATCACCTATTATGTTATCCTTTTTTTAACATATTTAACAACGGCGAGGTCCCCATGACATTAAAAACTCAATGTCATGGGAAGATATTGGCCCCAATTCGGGTTCAATGTCACTTGAACCCAGGGCCGGTCCTGAGAATTCAGCGGCTTGAGCCGAGATAAAAAAGGCCCTATATATAAAGTCTAACAAATTAACACATGTAAACTAATTATATATAAATGATAATTAACATAATATTATTAGAAGAAAATAAATAAATGACCAAATCGTTTCTTATCCGGCTTGAGACTTTCTCAATCTTCATCTCGTTTTCTCGTTTTACGTTTTTGACTACCGGATAGATGTTTAGGACCCATAGCTATTGAATTATTTCTGAAATAAAATTCAAATTCATAAATTTTACTACTTAATAAAATCAAATATGGAAAAGCAAGCAAATAAATTCATATATCATAAATTCATATCAATTGATTCAATTCGTCATTTTTTCAGTTTTTTTTCTTTTTCAGTTTTCAGTCTCTTTATATATATCTGTCAATTTTTCAGTTTTTTTAGTTTTTTTTTAGTTTTTCAGTTTTCAGTTTTTTTTATATATATCATAAATTCAAATCAATTCATCCAAATCAAATAAAGAATATATGGAACCATTAATTCATTCATATTTCATAGCAATTAGCAAAGATCTCAAACTAAAAATTAATAATTAACCCTAGATTTTAAATCCAAAGAATGAAACAATGAAAGAAAGAACATTAGAATAAAATTACTAAATTGGAAAGAAAGTGAATACGGAATACCTGGAGGGTGCAGCGGCGTATGGCGGCGGCGGCGTCTCTCCACCGGCGGCGTCTCTCAGCACTCTCTTTCCGATTCGGTTTCGGCAGTAGGCTTCGTCCTTCAGCTTCTGCGCCTCTGCTGTTTGCGTTAGTTGTCTACGAAGTAGGAAGGGGTGGGGCGGCTAATGAGATGGGCTTTTACATATTGGGCTGGGTTCTGGGTTTCTTATATCGGCCCGGTTCCATGGCCACTGGAATCCAGTGGCCACGGAAGCCACTGCCCCCCTACGAAACTCCGTTAATAAAATTGATGATTCCTACCCCCCTAACCCCCGGTAAACTCCCCGCTAAGTCCCGACCCAAGCTCATCACCCCACATACGTCAATTGCACCTCGTAAGCATAATTGACTTTAAAGTCAAAAGTTTTGACTTTATGCTTACGAGGTGCAATTGACGTAAGTGGGGTGATGAGTTTGGGTCGGGACTTGGCGGGGGTTTACCGGGGGGGTTATGAGGGGTAGGAATCATCAATTTTATGAACAGAGTTTTGTAGGGGGACAGTGGCTTCCGTAGCCACTGGATTCCAGTGGCCATGGAACCGGACCGTTCTTACATACATACATATAATATTAAAAAATAATTGGGCCCCTTACAAATGAGCGCGGTCCGGACGGACTGTCCCCTGTTGGGCCGGCTCTGCTTGAACCTCTCCCATCCCATTTAACAAAACATAATGAAAAGTTGGGGGATGAGTCAGCTAGGCCAATGTCATTGATTTTTTTTTTACTTAGCATTTTTGCACGCAAGTTGTAACATGGTGAGCTTTAACCTTTACTTGCACGGAGTTGCACCATATCCTTTAATAATATTTGAGAGTTGATAGCCTAGAATTTTGAGACGTGGCACCTTAGGAATTTTATTATTGAGACACGTGTACACTCCTCCTTTTAGACTTTTCACCAATGGTTTCACCGAAGGAAGGAAAGTAATGAATTGCTTCTTCCCCAAAATTACGCAGTTTTTACGCATCCCTCCTTCCCTGGTCTTCTCCAAGGAAACTCTTGAATATTTGGCCGATCTTTGCTATCGATTACATATTCTCTTCTTCATCTAAGGAAAGTCGATCTGTGCTCTCGATCTTCTCTCTTAATTTTCTTCTCTTTTCAACCAAAACCAATAGCACAACAACTCCGAATTTGAATCTTTGGGAACAAGAAAGGTAATTCAATTCCACATTAATTGATTTGATTTTCTGGAATTCTTAGGGTTTATAGTTGATAGTTCTTGATGATCTTTAACTGATTCGATATATTTGATTCTATTCCCAAATTTTTAGGGTTTTTGTATCTTTTCAATTGAAACCAATAGCAAAACAACTCCGGATTTGAAGCTTTGGGAACGAGAAAGTCAATGCAATTCAATATTTTTTGGGAACAAAAAACTCATTTTTTTGTTAAATCTAAAGCCCTAAAGTGATTTGATATCATTCTCTAGAATTTAGCTATACTATTCGGAATTTTTGCCTCAATTACTTATTTCTACAAATTCAATTTTACTCAAATAAAATTAATAACTTCATTATCAATATTCAGACAAATTTCATACTGTTTTGAATTTTCTTTATATATTCAAGCACATCCAAAACAGTATGAAATTTGTCTGAATATTGATAATGAAGTTATTAATTTTATTTGAGTAAAATTGAATTTGTAGAAATAAGTAATTGATGCAAAAATTCTGAATATAGTATAGCTAAATTCTAGAGAATGATATCAGATCACTTTAGGGCTTTAGATTTAACAAAAATTCTGAATATAGTATAGCTAGAAGTTTAATAGTTTTGGTATTGTTCTTGATATATATATATATATTTGTTGTTTGAACTTTTTGTTTCCTTTTGAGTTCATACGGTAGTACGGTTCAAATAAGAAAAATTGTTTGCCCATGCATGTATCTGTGTACGGCGTGAAAACAAAAAAATCATTTATTTATTTAAAAGAGTAAATACTTTTGTTTATTCATAATCATCTTAGTTTTGTTGAAAAGTTAGTTTTACGGATTATGCTTTATAAATTAGTTTTGTTTAATTCTATTCAAAATGATGAAGCGACTTGGGATGAGCTCAAACTTAGGGAGCTACTTATTCATAAGAGGTTAATTTTGTTTAATCCTCACAAATTGATTCTTTTCCTTTCACTCAAATTCTTGAACCAAACATAGCGAAAATGTTTGAGCTTATCCTAAGTCACTTCATCATGTTCATCATACTATAAGTGTATTTGCGCTTAGCATTGATAGGAATATTTTTGTTCAGTCTAAAAAACAACATATTTTCTATTTTTTGATCCTTTTGATGCACCTTTGATACATGAAGAGTTAATTCTTATGTTTTGTAAATTCTACCCAACTGGTGTATAGATTGGATATGAGTTTCTTCAGTGTAGTCATGCTCATTTTATTTTACTTTATTATTATTGGAGTTCTGTTGTGTTTGTAATAGCTCAATGGTTTTAACTTGCAGAGATAAAGCTGGTGGATATACAAGAATACTAAGAACACAAATTCGAGTTGGTGATGCTGCTCCTATGGCATATATAAAGTGAGATTGGCTTTTGATTTTGAATCAAAGAAGAAAAAACAATTGGTTGGTAGCAAAATATGCTACTATGTATCTAAAGGCTATGCTCTATTTGACAACTTTGCATTGACAGGTTCATTGACAGAGAGAATGAACTTAGGACAAGTTCAAACTTAGGAAGTGACTTATTCATAAGAGATTAGTTTTGTTTATTCCTTTAAAATTTATTCTTTTTCTTTCTACCAAATTCGTGAACCAAACATAGTGTAAATGTGTAAGCTTATCTTAAGTCGCTTCATCATTTGTATCATCTTAAAAGAGTTTGCGCTTAGCATAGATATGAATCTAAAAAAGTGCATATTGTTTGTATTTTAAACATTTTAATGCACCTTTGATATATGAAGAGTTAATGTTTATGTTTTGTCACGTGAAAAGATGGCGATCATTGGAGACAGTTGTCAAAATTCCAATGAATTGTAGGTGACATGAATCATTAGAAGCACTTTGTCATGTACTCTTTCAATTTCGTGACAAAATATTAATTGATATAGTATTACTTATTCTACTTTGTTGATAATGTATATTATTAAAAAAAATCATGTTACAAATATATTTTCTCTAATCTGTAAAAATATTACATTGCAAAATATTTTTTGAATCGACAAAAATTTTGTTCGACCCCGTGCGTCGCACGGGTTAATATACTAGTATATCTAAAGGAGCGGGTTGGATGATCCGGTAGTGCTCCGGTGCCCCATTCGTAAAATTGACGGTTCTTACTTCTTCTAATTCCTCCAGGCCGTCCTGACCTGAACACATTCCCCATTCCCTTCAATTGCACCCTCTAAGTTAATTTTGACTTTGGAATCAAAAGGTCAAACGTAAACAATCCTGTAAAAACCACAATGAAGGAGAAATTATTTTTATTTTTTTGTTTTAATTTTTCTGGGTCTGATTGTTCGAACATGAGCCTTAGTGGATGTTTCTCTATACTTTAGAATTGATCAAAAAGTAGTTTTTAACTTATAAGTCAGCTGATAACATGTTCGTGTGTGCTTATAAGTTGACTTATAAGTTACTTATAAGCTAGAAAAAATGAGTAGTTCTTTACTACTTATTTTCAAGCTAGTTTTTTTCGTTTATCTATTTTGATCAGATTATTTACAAAAGTGTCCTTCAGTGTTTATGAATATTTTCAAATGACTTATATATTATTTAAGTCATTTTACTTTAATGAAAGAATATCTGACATATAAGTTAAAAATTATTTATAGCATCCACAAAGACGGACCAACATCCACGAGACTATTCTTTTTTTGAATGCTATTGACTTTATTACAAGGTAGTATCTGTTCATATTATTTTCAACCTAATGATGCACAAATAATCAATGCTTCTGACTCTGATGGACCTCAAACCTGGGTGAACTTCTCCATTAATCTTGGAGAGTGAGCACGCTACACTCAATCCAGGGGAGAAGGTCCCACGGGACTATTCTTATTTTAGCTGTGCATTGGGCTGGCTAATAATAATACACTAGGCCCAACACAAATCTCTCTAAAACCCCTAAAAGGGTTCCCCTTCCGTTCTGGTCTCGACAACCCGTTCCGCCATATCCATCCAACCCCCTCCCTCCTCTTCAGGTATTTCTCTTTTCTACCCTCCTCCCCCTTCTTCTTCTTCACTCACCCTCCCCTGCTTCGACTTCCATTTCCGAATCAAAAATTTATGCCTGGTTTCAATCGTCCAGATTCGAAGCAATCTTACTCGATGCTTTAATCTTTAGTGGATTTTCCGATGGTCGAAATTCCAAATCTACATATATTCGATTAGACCTATACTCTTGAAAATGGGTACGAATCACCATTCTAAAGATCTTATTTTCGGGTTTCCTAAAAGTAGTTGCTTTTTTTTTCTCTTGCTTTTCAATTTTGCTATTTTATGCATTTTGGTTCAGAACAGACTGGTTCGGCAGCAATTGTTTTTTTAATGCTCGGTGTGTGTGTCAGTTTCTTTAAATGTTTGGAGTATCTAATAATCTATTCCATTAAAATGTACTGTAGTATTTACTTTAATTTTTAATGTAGTATTTATTACTCCTTTTATTAAGAAATCTGCATCTGCATTTTTGTAAGACTTTCTCTTATTGCTTGGACAAAATCATATTTTATGCAGAGATTGTTGCTTGTTGCTGTGAAAAACAGAATATTTTTAGTTAAATTCATAGAGAGAAATGCTATTGAGAATGTGAGAGTGGCAATTGCACACCCAATCATCATCTTCCATCTGCAGTTTCAAACAAAAAAAGCTCAGGAAAATAAAATTGTTTGTGCACAAATATAATTTCTCATTTTGAAAAGCTTGCATTCGAATAGGTGTTGCTTCCCGTCCCCAAAACGTCCCCCGTTGGGTACTTGGGGACGTCCCCATACCTCAGTTCTTTCATAAAGTTTGGAAAAATTGGTGTTTCCACTCTTCCGACCCTGTTCTCGTATAAGTCCCCGTCCCCATCTTGGTGCAACTTAGTTTAGACACACATCTCACAAAGAAAGATGAGTTTTTTTTAAAAAAACTCTAATTCGAATACCGTTCTGCTGAATAACTGTGATTTGAAAAGTACTAGTGTTATTGATAAGCTTGAATCCACCATATATAGGTGTGCCAATGGATTCCAAAGCATCGGCCCCCAATCCACACACTATTTCAATCAAATTGTGGCCCCCAAGTGAAAGCACAAGGAAGATCTTGGTGGATCGGATCACCAACAATCTATCTACACCTACCATTTTCACCCGCAAATATGGTAGTCTGAACAAGGACAATGCTTTTGAAAAGTCCAAACAGATTGAAGATGTTGCATATTCTGTTGCAAATAGCCACTATGACAAGGAGCCTGATGGTGATGGGAGTTCGGCAGTCCAGCTTTATGCTAAAGAATGTAGTAAGCTCATCCTAGAAGCTCTAAAGAACACTCCTAAGGGTATGTTTGGATCATGAAAATTTATATGCTAATGTTTGGATTTACCTTAGAAAATGCAAAGGAAAATCAAATATGTTTAGGCTTTTTTTAAAATGTATAATTAGGTTTCTTAATTTTTATATGCTTCACCCTTCTACATTAGGCTTGTGTTTTTCTTTTTGATTCATCCTTACCCCTTAAACAAAGTATGCTCTCTATCCCATAAAAAGAATCTACTTGACATGATTTTGTCTAAGAAAAAATTCATGTTAAAGAAAACCAAGCTAATTTCCATGTTTACAATGGTTATTCCTTACTCAAAATTTAAAAGTTTTACCTTGATTAAACCACTCTTTTTGTATGGCGAAGGGTGTATAATGTGAGGTCTTTCTTTGCTCTGCTACCTTCATTTAATATCCAAATGTACCACCATGTGAATTTTTAAAATTTCTTTTATGTTTCCCTTCCTATATTTTCCCTTAGACTTTCCTGAGGTTCAAACAGAGCCTCCTAAGACTGACGAGAAAGTGATCCCTGAATCTAAAGCTGCTCCTGCTTCGGGTGAAACTGTTTTTGATATTTCCAAGGGTAAAAGGGAATTCATAGAGGCAGAAGAAGCTGTGGAACTATTGAAACCATTGCAAGAGCCAGGAAATGCTTACACCAAGATATGTTTCAGCAACCGAAGCTTTAGCATAGGAGCAGCCCGGGTTGCCGGGCCCATCCTGTCATCCCTCAAGGCCCAACTCAAGGAAGTTGATCTGTCAGATTTTGTTGCCGGGAGACCCGAAGCAGAAGCTCTTGAAGTCATGAGGATATTTTCAGAAGCTCTAGAAGGGTGTGACCTGAAGTCTCTGAATCTCTCAGACAACGCGTTAGGGGAGAAGGGAGTTAGGGCATTTTCAAGACTCCTGGAGTCCCAGACTGGACTGGAGGAACTGTTTCTGATGAACGACGGGATATCAGAGGAAGCTGCTCGGGCGGTGTGTGAACTAGTTCCATCCACAAACAAACTTCGGGTTCTACATTTTCACAACAACATGACTGGTGACAAAGGGGCCATAGCCATTTCCAAGATTGTGACGCGTTCTTCATCTTTGGAAGATTTCAGGTGTTCTTCCACCAGGGTGGGAACTGAAGGGGGTAGGGCTTTGTCTAAAGCACTCGAGACATGTACCCGTCTCGTGAAGCTCGATTTGCGGGACAACATGTTCGGGTCCGACGTGGGCGAGGCCCTAGGCGAAGCACTCTCCAAACACGAGAACCTCTCCGAGGTCTACCTCTCTTACCTCAATTTGGAGGACGTGGGGGCCACCGCAATAGCCAACGCCCTAAGGGAATCCGCCGCGCCACTCAAAATCTTTGAGATGGCGGGAAACGACGTGACCGCAGAAGGCGGAATCGCGCTGGCTTCGTGCCTGTGGGGGAAGGCGTCCCTCGAGAAGCTCAACCTGGCCGAGAACGAGCTCAAGGACGACGGCGCAATCCGGATAGCAAAGGCCTTGGAGGAGGGCCACGACCGGTTGAGGGTGGTGGACATGAGCTGCAATTCGCTGGGGAGGGCCGGGGCCCGGGTGCTGGCTCAGACACTCATGGGTAACCCTGATTTTGAGCTGCTGAATGTCAACGGGAATTTCATATCGGACGAAGGTGTCGACGAGGTGAAGGACATATTCAAGAAATGTCCCGAAAAGCTCGACACGCTCGAGGACAATGACCCAGAGGGTGGAGACGAGGACGACGAGGAGGAGGAGAAGGGATCAGAAGAGGAGAAGAGTGGTGGTGGTGGTGGTGGGAGCGATGGCGACGAACTTGAGTCAAAGCTCAAAAAACTTGATGTTAGTGGTGGGGTTGATGAGTGAAATCCAACCCCATATCTCCCTCCCAAGGTATTTCTTGAATCCTAGTACTCCTTCCCCACAACCTTAAATCTGCTGCATCATCCCCATGAACACTGGCTGTCTTTTGTTTTTTTACTGTTTTTTTTTTTTGTTTTGTTTTTGCATGTGGTTGATGGATGGATGGATGCTCTAGTGCCAGTGCAGTGCAGTGTTTATGTTAGCTCTGCTAGCTTAGGTAGCAGAGAACAATTTGTATTGCATTTTGGTTGTAGACTGAAAAGGCTTTTGGTGTAATTTTATTTGAATTCAGGGAAGGCCTAAAACTCTACTGTGGTTTTTACCCATCACCAAAATTGTGTTTGTTAAAAAGTCTAATATGGCCTCTTTTTTTTTTTGATTGCTGAACATTAATCTGTGGCAATTTGTTCCCTTCGATGATCCTATGTTAATTTTGGCATGGTCGGTCCAAAATTATCGGTAGCAATGTGCGAATATCGATAATTTTTTCATACTCCAATCAAAATAATTTTTTCATTGTACAATCTTTTTCTTATTACTTTTTATATTTTGAGAATTAAAGATTGCATTAAATTATAAGAATAAGTTAGCTAAAAAGACAAATAATGTAGAAAGTTTTTAAAAAATAAAAAATATTATGGAATATTAAAGAAATGGAAGAAAGGAAAAAAGGAGTTTCCCAAATTATAACTCATATTTGGGTTTGAAATATTCCAAAACCCATTTTCTACTTAGAAATGAAATATTGTTGGAAGATATACAATTTCAAAACTAAATATATTTAGTCATGTCCAAACTTTTTTTTTGGAGTAAAAAAATCAGTTTTTATCTGAAACTCGGTAATTTTGTTACCAATTTAGAAGGATGTGTTTTTGTATAATAGCCTAATTAGTTCTGCCCTCACAATATTTGTTTGCAGTTGTTTTCAATTCAATTTATTTTTAAGTGCACATCAAAAATAGAATGTGATATATGCAGCATATATATAAAAAAACATCAAAAGTTCAAATAATAAGGGGCAAACGGAATATACTACGTAGTATTTTTGTACTTGAACTCTTTAAAAAAAAGGGAAAACCTCCCAATTATTTGTTGAATTTATTTCTATTTATTGGTGGGATTTCTATGTAGCAAAACTGGACTGGCTAAGTAACCAATTAAATTCATCAAGTGTGTATATATGTACAGATATATTTATAACTAAAAATATTTCAAAAAAAAAAAAAGATACACTAAGGTTTAAGGTCTATTATGAGAAATTGCAATTGGGGTCTCAAAATCAAGAAAAATTATGGAAGTGTTATCTTTGGTCCTTAGCGTTTTGGCCTCATTCAACAAAGCGTTGGCTACCTTCTCCGCTGATATTTCTTCCTTCTTTGTGTTTCTTTCTTTAAACTGCACAAAAAGCAAAATTTGACATACCAAAATGTATTGTAAACGAAGCAAATTTTTTATCCCATACGTGATTCTTATTCGTTACATTGACGAATACATACACAAACGCATACAAACACAAAAGTGAATATATCCCATTTCTTGACCAAATCGAATAAAACTATTCAAAAAAACAATCGAATCAAACCTCAATCCGAATACAAATAATAATGGTTTGGAAGAAAATGTGGGATAAAGCAAAGACAACATTTACCTGTTGGACAAGCTGAACTGCCTTCCGGGTATTTATCACGTCCCAGAAGCCATCGCTGCATATTCAAAAAACACTCTAAATAGGAGTAAAACATTGAGAAAGTATCAAAATAGGAACTCCATGTTTTTATCCCCAAAATATGAATTTGCACTATGACACTATATATGGACATTTCACAATACTTTTTGGTATTATGTATTGGCATGATTAGCAGTGTATATGCATTTTCACTCCAAACTTGGAAATAAAACTAGGAATTCTTATTTTGGTATATTTTCTACGTCTTTTTCGTGTTAAAAGCATAATAACAATGGTAGAAGAGCATGGACAGATAATACAATACTAGTAGTTTAAGAAGAAGGATGAGAGAGGGGACCTAGCCAACAATGCAAAACCAGAGCTTGTCTGATGCATGTACACAACTTGGCTTATATACGGTTCCGAACTGAATCGATTCTCCTGTTGTTTTAGAAACTTGTCTCCCAGCATCCTACCCAGGTTTAAACCTGCACATACCCCAAAAGCAATGACCTTACCTATATTTGGGGGGGCTAGAGGATAACAGAAACTACTAGGGAGTAAAATGTAATTTACCGCATAGACGTGTTTCCCCATCCTTGAGAGGTTCGCCGGTAGCTTCAATGCGGAGCCTTTCAGAGTGGCTACTTATCCTGTGGTCTTCGGTCATCTTAATCTGCTTCCCATCAACACTGCCACACAATATTAGCTAGGACCTTTCACTACTCACTTGTTGAGGTAAAGGGCGCGTTTGTCAAGGAGCTTTTTGTGAAAAAAAGCTGCTTTCTTTTACATAAAAGAGCAGCTGATTGCCAAACATGGCCAAAGGGTAGGAAATAACTTTGAAAAGAAATTAAGGGTGAAATTCATAAAGAGGAGAAGGCGACATACTTACTTAACAACACAAGCTGAATCTCCAACATTTGCACATTGCACGTAGAAATTGTCACGGCCATCTGTCCAAACTAAGAGCAATGTCGCCGTGCAACCCTGAAATATGTTTTTTTGTTATCATCTGAATGCACTAAGTGTATGTAAAGCTGACATGCGACATTAAAGGAAGATCTAAACCTCATAGTAGTGATTCAAGAGAGCTTCTGCTTGGGAAAACACATCTCTAAGGACACTTGAAGCATCACATTGCAACAAAACTGCCTCCCTCGTTGACGAATCTGACAAAATGCTAGTAACAATTTGTGGCAGTAGTCTGGCAAGAAAAAAAAACAAGAATGTAGATGTTAACTTATAAAGTCCCACAAGTGGAGTGTGCCTAAATAGGTATTAGTAATTCACTAATTTGTTCCATCCAAATTTCAAAATGAAAATCTTGTATTGCGGAGTATTTATTTCTCACTTTTTATGTCGCTTTTAGGTTCACGCGAATAATAGACTAAAAATCAAAATGGCACCTTATACTTTCATTGCTTCTTACTTTGAATGAAGTTTTGAGTTCATTTAGGAACTGAGGGATAGAAGAGTAAAATACTAACTTGCTAGCAGATGTGGCAGCTGCAGCTCCACCATGCCCATCGCATATGCCAAACAACCCAAACTGCATAAACATATGCAAAATATTTTATGCCACCCCATTGACACGAGTGCATATGAAAATAAGGTGGTTAACAAAGGCAGACACATAAACAATAGCTCAATTATAAGACCTGATCAGTCCCCGGTATAGGCCACTGGTAAAAAGAGACATCTTCCATGGGCAACTTTTTGGCTCCACGGCGTAAGGCCATGGGTTCAGATGCCAGCCCAACCCCAAACGGAACATGACACTCGGACTGGGACGTAACCTGAACCTGAGAGGCGTTTGGAAAGAAAATTTTAAAAAATAAATGTCTTTAATTTTCTTAAACACCTTCTGTGCTTATTTACAAAAGCACAAGAGGGGGGGAGGGGGGGGGGCTTTTAGGATAAGTCATCCCAAATGGGTTCTATATATCGGTGCTAAACATGCTGATCAACTCACAAGCACTTTTGAACTTGTCCCAAGTGTTATTATGTCTCCATTTGCAAGCTCGACTGGATCACCCCATTGTCTGTTTCCTGAATGAGGGTTGTGTGCTATACGAGAATTTACAAGAGTGCCATTCAAGCTACCCATGTCAACCAGCTCCCACTTCAATTTCTGGGAAAAAAGCAGCAGACAGTAAATACATTAAACAAAACAAACGTCGCATACGGCGCCCATAGATTTTCCAAAAACCTTACATTCAAATTCCAGTTTATTAGGGCATGTTTTCCAGAAACTTCAGAATCCTTCAGCATTATATCACTAGGCGCCACTCTTCCAAGACTAAGTGGAAGTCTGGACGTGTCACTTGACTGTACTGAATACCTAAGGCCACAAGATGGCCCTGATATAACCTCCAGCATAAGAACACTGCCTGCACTTCTAACAGGGACAGATGATGAAATGTTTTACATGATTACATCATGATGACAAAACATAAGAAAAAGCGACAAACGCTTCAATAATTGATAAAAGTTACTTTGATCAGTGAGATACTTCGGAACAAACTCCCCAAGCTTCTTGGTATCTTCAGCTCTTTCTGGTTTCGGCTCTTCGTGAAACTGAGTTATTCCAACCGGACGCTTAAGTGTTTGCCCCAGTAAAGCATCTTCTGAAGTATCACCAATATCAAGAACAAAACTATCACCTGAAAGAAGCTAGCCCATTGTTTATCCCTTCATCTCCAAAAAGGGGAGAGAGAACAAATAACAATCTAACATGAATGGTAGTTCATTACATACTGTGTTTCAAATGCGATGTTGGATAGGGGAGTCTTTGTTTATGTACAGGCTTGTGGGTCCGAGGAGAACCAAAAGTTTCTTGAGTATGGTGACCTGCACTCTCTAGAGAATGACTTCTACCGAATTCACCGCCCAGATCAAAGTCGTCTGATATAAAAGGCCTCTCCACATCTTCAGCCTGTAGAAAACTCATTAGAGCACACAATGACATAGTTAACTGTTACTCCATATTTCATTGCACAAGAGAAAGAAAAGCTATTTTTTGTGGAAAAGGCTCCACCTTTATCAAAAATTTTAATTTCCTTCCCATCTCAGATCCTATTCCTCAGAAACCCAACATACAACACACTTAGCCAGCTAATATTAGATCCACAATCCAATTATTCCTTCCCAAATCTCCACCAAATTCAAAAAGAAACTCAAGAATTCAACAGTCCTGTAATGCATTTCTTTTCCATTTCAGAACCATTTCAACCGAATTTTACAAACAAATTGATTCCTAATGGCAATCTTAGGTAGAAAAAGTCAAGAGAAAAAAAATTAAAAGAAAATAAAAAAGGGGGGGGGGGGTCTTTTGCAGATATATTATTATCTAGGCCAGAGTAGAGAATCAAGAAATCAAGAATACATGAACCGTCTTCGTGAATAAAAAAGAATACATGATCCGTGACAACATCTATCTCCATATACAAAATCAAGTATTGGGTATGAATTTTTTGGGGGGATCGGAGCGGTACCTTGATCGCGGTGCGGGAGCGGGAAGAGACGGCGGTGGAGAAGGAGGAGGAAGAGAGGAAGCGCCATGGTCTGAATTTGCAGGCGATGAGGATGAAGAGGAGGAGGAGGAGGAGCATAACAAATGAAATAAGAAGGGCCTCCACCGAAACCGCAATGCTGCTGAGGAGGGGAGTGGTGTGGGTGAGTGAGATGGTATGTGCAGCACCACCACCTGGCAACGCCTTCGCCATCGGCGGAGAGTCAGAGCGAACGAGCCAGAGAGAAGAGATGGGAAAACAGTGTGTGGGTGGCCGTACGATTCATACAACACCCAAACAATTAGATATCCATTCTCAAACAAAATTTTATGGAGCATGCTACATGTATAAAGATCTCCATGAATATTCTGATAGTTCACATTGATACAAAGTATTAATGCGTTAACATAAATTTATATTGACACAAAATATTGGTGCGTTAATAAAAATTAGTATTACACCAACACAATATGTTGGTACATCCTTGTGGTGTATAAAATGAGGTATAAATCTTTGGGGTATAGATAGCTTTATCCAAATTTTATTATTCAAATTATTTCGGTTCAAACAAGATTAATTTTAAATATAACTATATTTATATCAAACTTATTACAATCAGATCAGAATTATTTAGATCAAGTGAAGAAACAAGTCTTTAGTCGGAGTTGAATATATATGTTCACATAAGAACTTATTCTCTTCAATTTTTTTACTTATTATTTATTTCTAATGGAATTATATATATTAAATCAGAACAAATTTAAATATGTTTACAATCAGACAAGATCAGAACATAATCAAATCTTATCAAAACCAATCAGATAAATCAAAGAGAACAAGCCATAAGCAATTCATACTGGACCATAAGATCAAGTTGGACTGTCGGTCTCAATTGAGGTTCTTATAGTAGGCCCACAAGTGCGGTTGGCCGAGTAGCTAAGAAGTTTTGCTCTCCGAAAATTTGGTTTGGAGTGTGGCTTAGTTGGTCAATATGTGATTCAAAAGGTTAAAGGAGTAATACCGGATCAGGCTCGTCGGGAGGGTTCATCACCCATAAGTTTCCCACGACCACGACCTCGTGCACACATCATTGATGATGATGATGATTTTCCTCTTTCATCGAACTAAGCTCTGATACCAACTGACGCCAAACTGAATCAAGGCGTATGAGTATGTACAACGAAGAGAACAATGAATGAAAGGGAAAAAAAGAGAGAGATGCTCTGGGAGAAAATCCACTATAGAGTTATGATAAAACTGATATAATCCAAGTCTGAGGAAATGTTGCCCACAAGTCGGGCTTAAATAGCTGAAAAAAGAAGTAGGGTGAAACCCTAAAAAGAGATAAAATTAAGCTGGGCTACAAGGGCTAAGCAACTAGAAAATAATGACATGAATTGGCCTCACGTCCATTCCTAACGTCGCGTCCAGTTCCATTACTTACGCACAGTAAAAGCAACAAACTGTACACTCATCAAACCTTTTTAGAGGCACAATACAATGTACTAACAAAAACATTTCTGATATTTAGAGGGTTAGAGTCAAGTTCAATAAATGATTTATCTGAGTTTTAGATTTCAATGGAGTCAAATCTTGGTCCACGGTTCACGAGTTAATCTATATTTGAGATCTGATTCTGAAGTTCTTTTGTTTTTTATTCTGAGCCTGTCTTAATTACCCCTCTCTCAACCTTTCTAGTCCAACTCACCGCCTTAATGATTTAGGGAACCCTTTCCTTGGCCACATACAATAGCAAATTATACCCACGTACTTAATGATCGTGATCTAAATGTACATACGCTATCACCATTGACGAGCTAGCTAAGAGATTGTATGTGGCTCCAGATTTAATAATGTTTTAGTGGGAGAAATAATGTCTATTAATGATGAACATTTATTTGAATAATGACTAATTGATAATGACCAAAAATCCTACATTGAAAAATAAAAACATATAGTCTTATAGTGGAAAGTCATTATGTTTTTGTCATATTTAGGTAAATTTTTCATCAAACATTCACACTGGTGTCAATGTAAATGAGTATATATCAACTCAAAAACTTAGGATTTTTCTTTGGTTTGTGCAACGTGAAGAAAGATGGGTAATTTACGCAAATTTGACTTAAACATATTACTTTTTCCTAAATAGGACCAATCCTATTTACTCTAATGTTTGGCAATGGAAAATTATAAAATGTCCCGCCTTTGAGAAGAATGACTTATTACACAATTCAAGTAAAATAATTAATAAGACATTATCAAAAATAATTTAAATAGTAATTCAAATAATCAGTCATTCTTCAGTACTCGTTGCTAAGAGCATTTACAATGGGGGCATTTTTTCACTGCTCCAACTCCTGCCACATCAGCATTCTACTAACTTTCAGGCCTATTCCAAAATTCTGCAATGCTGCACTATCACCTTGAAAACCCGTCTCTCCATTTTTTTACTTTAAAATTTATTCACCATTGTTAGTTCCAATTTAAAAATTTCTTTAAATAAAACAAAATACATATAATTAAAATAAAAATATTAAGATTGACACTCTTTATTATTAAATACAACATCTAGATGCCTTGAATTTATATGGTTGAAAATTAAAAAAACAAATTGAGGCATGGCGGACTACTGCAGTGGGCGACTGCCACGATTTTAGGCCGGGAGCTCTCTCTATATATACCTACCTCTTCTTCTTTAGTTAATACAAAGAGTCGAAACCTTAATTTCTCCGAACATTTTACATACTCCGCCGTATAACAATAATAACAATAAGCTTTTTACATACGGAGTATCTAGTTGAACCTCCATATATTATATTAAATTCTACCATGCCCCCCATAGTTTACCATACTACCACTAATAATGATAATCAGCTGCACTCATGCAACGCCGCCGCAAGTGGGAGGCTGAGGGCGGCCCAATCTCCCTTGCCGCCAGGTCGAAACTCCGACGAACATGGTGGAGATTCGCCCATTTCCCTCCAGAGCCAGCTATCTCCGTTCGACGCGGCGGTGGAGATTCACCCTCCGCCTCGGAAGCCTTCGCTCCGCAAAATGACCGAGCAGAGCCTGGCCATGTGCACCGAGATTCTCGGGAGTGAAACCGGGGCCGACATCTTTGAAAGCGACGAGCTTTACTCTCTCGTCGTTTCCACGGACAGGACGGCCCCGGGTCCACATAAACAAGCGGACGAATCGTTCAATTCGTCCGGCTCGAGAGGGAATAATAATAGTAGTAAGAAAAAGTGTTACTCATCAAGAGGCGATCGCAACAACTTTCCGCCTCCACTGACGACGATGCGGGGCCCGGCTTGCCGCCGGCTCACATGTCGGCGTGAAGGCGGAAGGCTGGTGGTCGCGGCGGCCGACGTCCTCTCGAGGCAATCTTTCCGGCAGGTGGAGGCGAGCAGCGGCCGCCTCAAGATATTTTTTTACACAAACGAGGGGAATACGAGTAATTGTTCCGGCGACAATAATAAATACGACGGCGGGGATAGAGATAGTGAAGCAGCCGCCGCCGGAACAGTAGGAGAAGAGATTATGACGGAGGAAGAAGACGGTGAGAGTGAAGCGGAGGAGAGTGGGATATTGGGTGTTGATCAGGTGGAAATGGGAATGAAGAAATGTGTGGCGGCGGCGGCGGCCGCGGCGGGGCGGAGTTGCAAGGAAGGCGGACAAGGCATTTCCGAAATTTTCGGGATCCCTGTCCACAATTCAAAATTATGTCTCTATAGTTAGATTTTTTAGATTCGTTTTTTAATTGTTATGGTGATGATTTCCACGAGTACTACAATAATATTTTAATATTTAAATTTAAGGCTATTTATTTATTGGGATAAAACAAAGAAAAATGTTTGGTTTACAAATAAAATATTCACAAACTTCATAAACTTATTATTTGTGAACTTCAATAAATAAAATTAAATAGTCTAAAATAAATTTAAAATGAAAATTTAAACATAAATAGTAAGTTTGTGAAGTTTGTGAGTATCTTGCTTGTGAACGTAGCATTGCTCTAAAACAAATCATCACGTATTTCCTCCTTTCAATATTTATATTCTCGTTTATTACTCACAATACAAATTTAAATTTTATTGCGAACATATTTTCGTTACCCATTCGATAAAATTAAATAGTATAGTTATGTCATCTTTAGTTTTATAGATCTTCTCAAATAATTTCTAAATATGTAGTTTTTATTTGCCAAAATCAAATTGCAGAATAATTTTTCTCTTTTATGCTAACTCAACCCTTAACAAATTTTCAATATTCTTTCAATAGTTTTTGTAAAATGAGTGAAGCTAAAACTTATAAATTACTTTGAAATGGAGAAAATAGTACTCCGTATTTAAAAAACAAACCAAATAGTTATGAATTGCATGCTTCATCTATGCATAAAATTCTTTACATTTTTTATTGATCATTGCAGTTCTAAAAAAATTACGTTAACCTTTTTTTAATTAGGTAATGAATATTATGTGACTACGAGCAATTTTCTCTCAATAACTCTTTATTTTTCAATAACTCTTCAAAATTTCGGGATGTCAAATGGTGAGAAATATTTGGAACATCTTCTATAAAAGCATTCCCAAACACTGTTGATTTTTTTTTTTTCAAAATCAAAATACTGGGTTCGTTGACGAAGCTTGTCTAAATTAAATGCAAACGTGAAAAGATTCCAAATGTCGAAAATAAAAAATTATTTTTTAAAAAAAATGTACCTTCATGTGACGCCGGAAAGAAGTAATGGCATTTACGAGTTACCACAATGCCGGCTCCAATCCGCCGTCCATAGTGACGGTCCGCCGCACCAGTGGACACTCCTCTTTTTTTTTCATTTTTTAACTCAATAAATTTAACATATCTCATCACTCACAATTCACTCTCATTTGTCTCAATTCATAACTTTCTTTCCATTTTCTCATTATTCAAAAAGAATTCCAACAACAACTTCAACTTTGATAACTCTAAATTCGATGTCATCATTCGATTTGTAAACTCTGATTTTTTACCAGGCGAAGAGTTTAATTACCCCGTTCTAGCAATTTTTGAATCGGTAATCAATAATAACTAATAACTGATTCAATAGTCAAATGAATCGGTTTTTTTTATTAATAACCGGTTCAAATGGATAGGAGTTTTTGAATTGGTCATTAGTAATAACCAATTCAGTTGACTATTGAATCAGTTATTAGTAATAACCGATTGAAATGATTGAATTAAAATCAAGCACTCAATGCATATCTCCCTTACACGATACACTTTTCTCGTTTGACCCCGCCACCAATTCCTGCTCCCGTCGTCGATGCCGTCCCCCACACTCACCGCCGCCGCCGCCACTTTCGCCGATTATAAGGTATGTTATAATTTTTCACTTTAAATCTTATATTATACTATCATTTATTTGTATATTTTTGCATGAGTTGAATACTTGATGCTATATTATACGGAGTATTATACTTTAATTTTTTTACTCTTAATCTTAAATTATTTTCATAATGAAAACACACACATTTTTATTATATTTCTTTAAATCTCAAATACTAAAACATTTTTTTTATAATTATATTTCTTTATAGTTTATAGTCATCATGTTCCAAATTAACCCTTTCTAATCTATTCTCGGGGGGGGGGTGGGGGGGTGGGGGGGGGGAATATGGAATGGGGTGCAGAGAGTATCAAGAGGGGAAGATATGTACACAGAGGCCGTACGAGTTGTACCACAAATCTGGGGACCAACACATCTCCTTTTCCACACCACATGTGGTGAAATTTATAAACTTGTTCACACGCTATAATCAAACGCAATTTTGACCATTTTGATGCCATCTTAATAATATCCCTCCCACTTGCCCTACCTCCTCCATTAACAAAAAGGGGGGGGGCTACCCGGCCGGTGAGCGTTGGGTAGTTGGTAAGGTAAGAGATGTTAAGAGAGTAAAACCTGAGTTCGATTCCTAGTAACTGCATGCGCTAGAAGACAATTATGTTAAATATATGAACTCTGCAAGTTTTAGGTGCAGGCTTCACTCTTTGTCACCAATCTTCGATTAAAGACCAATGTACCTCCTTTCAGTGATCGTCCGGCCAGATCTGTGAGAGCATTCAGAGATGAGGTTCATCCTCTTTTTTTAAAAATTTTTTTTTAAAAAAAAGGGGCCACCCTCATGCTCATTAGAAAAGTAATAAAAGCTCAAATCTTGATATAATCTTAATTAGTCTATTCATTAGAAAACTTATATTGCATTCCATGCACCCATGCACAAAAGAAACAATCACATTATTCAATGAAGCTTCCACCCTGTTGCTATCAGAATTTGATCATGGTTCAACTAATATCAAACCGGTGTTTAATTTTTCTGAAAAAACTAGGAAAACCGAACCAAAAATAACATATTGAAAAAGTACCGCAAGAAAATTAACCAAAGGTCGGTTTGGTTGAGAGCGGTACGAGATAATTTTGCATACCGAAAAACATATTTTAACACATACTAATCCCTTTATATTTCATTGAGTAATAAGTAAATTTTGAGAATTTGGTTCAAGTTTTATCAAGTGTTACTTGTATTTTTATTTTTTACTCCCTCCGTCCATGTATGATCTTCCCATTACGCGTTACGAGGCTTGACTCACTTTATTTTCAATTCAATTTAATTGATTATAGGAGTAAAATTTTAAAATAAAATTTATATAGTAATAAACTACATGAAAAGTTCTACAAAACTAGAGGTGACAAGACTATATTATTTTATGAAATGACTAGTAAAATTGAGCAAACAAAGTGAGTAAAGTTTGACTCTGTGAATAGTGTCTGGGAAGATATATGGTGGACAGAGGGAGTAATAGATTATGAAGGTGTAAAATACGCGGTTTGATTTTCTACCGTGTCGTAGTACCGTGGCACGCATCTTAATATCAAGCTAATTAAGGTATTCAGAGGATATAATTTCGGAAGGAGACTAACTGGTCGAAGCACGTTGCGCAGTTGGCAAATGCAGAGAGTGTCAAGGGAGTAGACTCGAGTTCTTTCATTTTCCGCTATTAATTTGCGATTAAAATCTAATTTATCTATTCTCATCAGTAATCGTCCAACCGGGACTGAGGGGGCTTCGGGCTCGTCTTTTTTGATTTTGGATAGAGACTAAGTGACCTACCTCCTCCATTGACACATGACATTACTACTACTACTTGTGGTGTGATTTGGTCTGCACCAAATCTATCCCATCCATCAGCTTACCTCATCATGCATGTGTTTTTTATACTAGGGGCCTCCTCCTCTCCCACCACACCACCCCTTGGCCATGCATGGACGCACTATCTATTGTTGCTACAAACCAAATCTTAGCCATCATTTTGAATCCAAACTGCCCTAGGCTAGGGTAGGGGGTCCTTCTCTCCCCATACGTCACCCCTTCCCTTTTTCTTTTTTCGCACCAAAATAATGTTGTCGATTTGCAATTGGTTCATAACCAGTGGAGTTTGGGACCGACAAAACATGAATTCGAGTATCAACCATAACTACTCCGTATAAAAATTAATTCCCCCGTCCCGGAGTATTCGTCCAGTTTTGACTTTTGGAACTGTTCATCTAAGCACTTTGACTCATCAAATTCTCTCAATGTGTAAGCCTAAATATAGTCATGTGTGATCTTGTTTGATTTGTCTTAACATATAGATTATTAATATATAATTTCTATAATTTTTAATATACAAATTATAAGATAAAATGGATTAAAGAAGTGTATTGGATGATGTGTAAAAATAAAAGTGGACAAATACTCTGGGACGGAGGTAGTACTACGTATCTTTTTATCCTAAAACCCGCACATATTAGTAATAATATAGTGAAATTTGCCCTAAATAGGACTAAATCATAACGATTTTCCTATTGTAGGACTTAAATTTTTTTATTTCCTAAATAGGACTTAATAATGACCTAGTGGGAGGAATAATGTCCAGTAATGATGGACATTTACTTGAATAATGACTACCTAATAATGACCAAAGGTCCTACATTGGGAAATAAAAACATATGGTCCTATATTAAGAAAGTCATTATGTTTTAGTTTTATTTAGGTAAATTTCTCAAATATTCATTAGGAAATATAATATTATTATTTATTACCTTTTTTATTTTATTGTTTTCTTATTGTATTGTGATGTAAAATGCAGAGGACTTGGTACTCGTCTATTAGTAATAACATATACTCCGGGTATTTTTTTTCTCTCCTTTCGATAACATTTGTTAGTTTACACGGTTTCATTAAGTATTTGATAAAATAAAATAGTCTTGTCACATATTTCTTTGTAGAACTTTTGACATAGTTTTTTAATATGTAATTTTTATATCTTATTGATATACTAATTTGTAAATAAAATAATTTCAAAGAGTAGAAAATTTCATTTCGTAACTTGCAATTAATAATCGAATTGGGGATGGAAGGAGTATAATTTATTTTGTTAGGATGGACTAGGAGTCCATTTTTCCTTTTTGGTGCTATTAAATGTTTAAAACAGTAACCCAAAATCAAGTTTAAACCGTAGGTCATAAAGTCCATCTTTTTTTTTTATTAAAAAGAGTTTTATTGATTTATACTCCGTATTTGATTGATTGGGATTATTATTGGTGAACCAGTCTTAAAGTTAATAAAAGCCAAAGAAAAAAAAGTCAATAAAAGCCAAAGAAAACACAAATTTTTTGACTGGCTTTTCCAGCCCACTATTAAGATCGTGCGGCAGATGATTTTTGAGCATTGTTTTTTGAGGGATGCTAGGGGTACACCAACAGTGTACCCCTAATGTACACTACCCACTTTTCTACTACTCATTTTTATTTATTTATTTTTTGTTTAATTTATTTGTCAATATATGTGGCATTGAAGGGGGTGGTGTACATTTGGGTTACATTTTTGGTGTACCTCTTTTTTGCTAATACTTTAGATCTCCCTTCTAAAACTTTATTTTATTTTCAGTTAATAATATTTAACTGAAGTTATTTTTTATTTATTTGATTATAGGTATAAAATTAAAAATTATAACTTTCAAAATAATATCAAAAGTTTTACAAAGAGAGGTAAAATGACTATTTTATCTTATCAATTAATTAACGAAAGGTATTGCTAAATCTACCTCACTTTTGGCTAAATCCACCCCATTTATGAGAATTTGACAAGTTTATCCTTATGCTAGGTTTACGTGTCATTTTTCTCTTTTTATACTTTTAGGGGTAAATTTGTACACTTTTAACAAATGGGGTGGATATAGCCAAAATTGGAGTGGATTTAGCAACACCCAATGAAAATAGTTAAAGAAAAGGATAAAAGTTTGATCGTGTGAATAGTAATTGGGAAAAAAGTTTTAGGACAGAGGAAATAATGTTCGTTGATACTGTAAACGCCTGTCGTTTTGTATTATTTTTTGATATTTTATACTGCATGTGTCCCAAATTAAGTTGTATGTTTACTATTCACAAGGTCAAACTTTATT